CAGAAGTGTACTCTAAGACTTGTTTTAGCTATATCTCACAAATTATCATTATCATTTACTTTAAAATATTTCAGATTTCCCTTATGATGTCATCTTTGACACATGCTTATTTAGAAATGTTAATATTCAGATATTTTTAGAGATATCTTATTGTTGATCTGTAATTTAATTCTGCTGTCACCAGAATACATTCTGTGTAACAATTTTATGTTCAGATATTGATTGACGTTTACTGATGGCCCAACATAAGGACTATTTTACCTTAAAGGTTAGAAGTATACAATAGTAAAATTCTATTACCCTTCCCCATCTTTTGTACTATTGTCATATGTTTTATTTCTGTATCCAAAATGCACTATTACCATTTTTGCTCTAAGCAGTTAGTTGTTTTTCAAAGTAATTTGTCTTCTTTTTCTTTTTATTTTTTTAGACAAGATCTCACTCTGTCACCCAGGCTGGAATGCAGTGATGTGATCTTGGCTCACTGCAAACTCGGCCTTCTGGGTTCAAGTGATTCTCCCACATCAAGCGATTCAGCCCCCGAGTAGCTGGGTCTACAAGTGCAGGGCACGATCCCTGGAGAATTTTTATATTTTTTGTAGAAATGGGGTTTTGCCATGTTGCCCAGGCTGATCGCGAACTCCTGACCTCAAGCAATCTGCCCGCGTTAGCCTCTCAAAATGTTGGAATAACAGGCGTGAGCCACCACACTCAGCCTGTCTTTTACATTTACTCACATTGGTCATTTTGGTTTCTGTGTATTCTTTCTGTAGATCTGAGTTTCCATCTGATATCATCTCCTTTTAGCTTGAAAGGTATTCTTTACACTGTTTTTTTTACAGTTCAGGTTCATTGCTGATAAAGTCTCTCAGAAAATGTCGTAATTTCACCCTCATATTTTAAAGGACATTTTTTGTTGGTGACAGAATTTTGAGTTGACAGGGTTTTTTTTGTTCTTTTTTTTTTGAGTCAGAATCTCACTCTGTCACCAAGGCTGGAGTGGAGTGACACGATCTTGGCTCAGGCAACCTCCCAGGTTCAAGCGATTCTCCTGCCTGAGCCTCCTGAGTGGCTGGAATTACAGGTGCCTACCACTGTGCCCAGCTAATTTTTATATTTTTAGTAGAGGCGGGATCTCACCATGTCGGCCAGGCTGGTCTCGCAGTCCTGGGCTCCAGTGATCTGCCCACCTCAACCTCCCAAAGTGCTGGGAATACAGGTGTGAGCCTCCGCACCTGGCCAGTTGTTTTTGTCTTTCTTTCAGCACTGTAAATATTGTTCTGTTGTCTTCTTGTTTGCATTGTTTCTGGTGTGTCAGCTGCTGGTTGTTTTTGTTGTTTCTCTGTGTTTAATGTGTGTCTAGGTATAGATCTTTGTTTTTGTCCTTCATTGGACTTGCTAAGATTCTTAATAATGTAAATTAGTATTTACTACCGACTTTGGTAAAATTCCAGTCATTATTTGTTCAAATATTTTTTTCTTCCCCTATTTCTTCTTCTTTTAGGACTCCAAATACATGAATATTTTATTGCTTAATATTCTCCCATAAGGACCCTCAGTCTTTGTTCTTTTTCTTAACTCTTTTTTTCTATTTGTTCTTCAGATTTCAGTTGTAAACTATAGAAGAAAGGGTTAGCGATTCTGGGAATAGATCAATGGAAAGTATCTGCTATTAATGATATCTAATTCATTTTTTATTTCAGGTATTACCTTTTCAGTTCGAGAATTTCCATTTGGCTCTTTTTGGTATTACCTATCTCGCTCCTAAAAATCATATGTACTTGTTATAACCATATTTTTCTTTAACTCCTTGACATATTATAATAGATGCTTCGTAGTTGTTGTTTACTAATGCCAAAATCTGGATCATTTCAGATTTTTTTTTCTATTGCCATTTCCCTCCTTTGATTACAGGTCCCATTTTATTGTTTCCTTGCATACCTAGTAATTGTTTTACTATGTTGAACATTATGATCGATATACTATAGGGAGTCTGGATTAAAGAGCATTGAGTTTTGTTCATGCAGGCAGTTAAATTGCTGGCAGATTGGCCCCTTCAGCATTGAATCCATCCATCTGTCTGTCAGTCAGATAATCGTAGGGCGGGTAACTCCATTCTGAACTTATTCCAAGTGCACAGCTATTAATCTAGGGTGAGATCTTTATTACTAAGACATAGCCTTCCTGGTGTCTCAGTTGAATGCCTGAGGCCCCAGTGGGGATTTCCTTCCTCTCCTCGGGTGGCCTCTCCTGCTGCATGACCTCCAGAATCTTCGGTCAGCACTCAGCCCCATAGCTGCTGCTTTCTTAGGTCTCATGGAATCTGGCCCTTCTTATGAAGCCATTGGCAAAGTATCCTGAGTAAATCCCTACTGAAACTTCTGGGGCAAACCCTCTGCTACTCAGGCTCACAAATTCCAGATGCTTCTACAACTTGGAACAACTATTTCTTCTTCCACAGCTCAGTGAAGCTGTTCTGTTTGGGCAGAAAATGTCCCCAGGCATAAAGCCAGGTCAGTCCCGGGCCACCACCTATATTTCCCGTCTCTTGAGGCTCACAGTCCTGTGTTACCTCTGGTCCAGGGCCTGAAAACAGCTGTCATATGTTTTGCTCGGTGTTACAGTTTTCCCGGGGAGGACAAGTCCTCTCTCATGGTTGGAAGCAGAAGCCTGGCAGTTTGCTTGTCAGCTGTGTCTTCCTAATTTTTTTTGAAACGGAGTCTTGCTGAGTCGCCCAAGCTGGAGTGCAATGGCACGATCTCAGCTCACTGCAACCTCTGCCTCCTGGGTTCAAGTGATTCTCCTGCCTCAGCCTCCCGAGTAGCTGGGATTACAGGCACCTGCCATCATGCCTGGCTAATTTTTGTATTTTTGTAGAGATGGAGTTTCACCATGTTGGCTAGGCTGGTCTCGAACTCCTGACCTTAGGTGATCTGCCCGCCTCAGCCTCCCCAAGTGCTGGGATTACAGGTGTGAGCCACCGCGCCCGGCATGTCTTCCTCATTAATAATATTCATGGCACTTCATGATATTTTTTATCCTATCTGGAGTATGACTGATTTTATTTCAGCAGATCCTTAATTTCTGAGTTGGCAGTAGAGTTATCATTCACTTGGGTTAACTTCTGTTACAACCCGAGTATCTGCCCAGCCTTTTATTCCACCTCTATACCTGGTGATGTATTACTACTGGTAATACATGAATTACAAGTAGCCCTCCTGGTGCACACAGAGAACTTTGTCTTTTTCACAAATTGGCATCTGTGCCATCTTACCTAATCCTCATTGTTGGCAGCAGATGCCATCTGTGGATGATGGTTCAAGTTGGGCACAGTTGATTTCAGATTTCTTGAAAAGGGTCAGCTTAGGCTTAGAGTTTGGTGTTGACATTTTGCTTTTATTTTGTTAAAATTAGGTATCGAATTAACATGCTTTAAAAGTGTGGTGTATTTTCTGCGTGTGGGATTAACATACTTGTATGTAAGATTGGCTTTGTAAGTATTTACAGATAGTTTGTAGTTAGTAAGGCACGTTACGTTCTGTTTCTTTCCTACAGGGGCAGGCTGGTCTCTCTCCTTCCCTCTCTTCTTCTCCCTCACCTGCACCTTTTCTTCTTTCTTTGTATTTTATGATTGATTCACTTATATTTGCATAATAGCATTTTTAAATTTTTCTTTTTTCTTTTTATTTTTTGAAACAGAGTCTCACTCTGTTGCCCAGGCTGGAGTGCAGTGGAGCAATGTTGGCTCACTGCAACCCCCGCCTCCCGGCTTCAAGTGATTTTCTGCCTTATTCTCCCAGGTAGCTGGGATTACAGGTGCACACTACCATGCCTGGTTTAATTTTTGTGTTTTTAGTAGAAACAGGGTTTCACCATGTTGGCCAGGCTGGTCTCGAACTCCTGACCTCGAGTGATCTGCCTTCAGCAACCCTAAGTGCTGGGATTACAGGTGAGAGCCACTGCGCCTGGCCATGTTTTAACTTTTAAAAGTGTTTTCACTTCTCTCTGTCCCTTTTTTTTCTATTCACATAGCTTGGTTGACTGTCTTGTTGCCTCTTGCCTGGACTGTTATTGCAGCAGCGACTCATTCTCTTTCTTCCAGTAGTCTCCTGGCCAATCACTTCTACTGTTTAACCTTCCTTAAGTTGAGTTTCTCCCTCTAACTTGAAAATCCACACATACTGTTCCATATTGCCTTCCATAAGCTTCACCTGCTTCAGCCAGGTTTGGGGTGTTCTTTATTCAGCAGCCCCCACATCCCCCTTCTCCGTACTTCTGTCCTAGCGAGGCCTCCCATGTAGCACTCTTCCCTTCCCTCCTTAAAGTCCCTCCTTCATCGTCCAGGGTCTCTACCACCCATTGTCCCTCAGTTGGAACTGCCCCGAGTTCTCTGTGCAGGTCACAGTTGAATCACAGGTGTCTGGACATACCTAGCCCTGTTTCCCAAGGCGAAACCCATGACTGCGTCACCGTATCTGTTGGGGCTCCTGGTGTCCTCCAGATAGTTGATGCTCTGTAAACATTTGTCATTTCCCATTGATCACATTGAAACCCTGTGATCCAGGCAGAGTGAAGAGATTAAGGCCCCGTGTGTTTAATTATGTTGCACATCGAATTAATGATTGGTACGGATTTATAGTCCACATCCTCTCATTTCATTCTTTTGACAGCCTCTCTGTTCTTCTCTAATTTCGCTCAAAATTACTTTGGTTGGCTCTTAAGTAGAAACTTACATCATTGTATACTTGGGGGCATGTCCAAATTCATTAAATGAGGTGAGAGATTTTTCTTCTCCTTTCTACCCCTCGCTTTGCTGTCCTGGCAGGACACAGCTGCCACCACTAAAGGTACTGGGAGGGCTGAAATGCTGGTCGTTAGAGCTGTTGTCTTGGGTTATCTGGTCTTGACATCACACAAGACTTCCTCAGGTCTGCTGTGTCCTAAGCCTGACTTAGTGTCACTGTATGAACACAATTCTCTACCTACCTCTTTTATTTCAGGCACTTCGTCTTAGTAACATGGCCATGGGGAAGACAACCACAGGCCAGATAGTCAATCTGCTGTCCAATGATGTCAACAAGTTTGACCAGGTAAGCTGCAGTTCAGGGATCCTTTTTCATTGCATTAAACACCCCTGTTCCCCCTTTTATTCTTTCTGGAGACAGGGGCTCACTGTGTTCACACTGGATTGCAGTGGCAGGATTGTAGCTCACTGGAGCCTTGAACTCCTGGGCTCGAGTGATGTGTGATCCTCCCGCCTCAGCCTCCTGATTAGCTGTGACTACAGGTATGCACCGCCATGCCCAGCTAATTTCTCTCTTCTTTTGAATTTTCATGTCAGATGGGCTAATGTGGCAATGTCATAACAGAATTCAAGGGTGGCACATCTCACACATGTGCATGAACACCCGACTGTCATGCTCATGAACTACAAAAGGATTGCTGGCTAATTTCTTTTTTTATTATTTGTAGAGAAGGGATCACGCCTTGTTGCACAGGCTGGTCTCAAAATTCTGGCCTCAAGCGATTCTCCCACCTTGGCCTCCCAAAGTGCTGGGATTACAGGTGTGAACACCGTACCCACCCAGCGTCCATTGTTTAATACTTACCTTGTGGAGGTATCATGTTATCCAGGGCATTCTAGCTGCTGGCCATGTCCATTTTGCACTAGGACCACTTTATTTTTTTTCTTTCCAATTATTCATTCATAGACACGAACTAAAGCCTCCGCTCAGTGTCAGGGACAATGAATAAGACGTGGTTTCTGTTCTGAAGAAGCTCGCCGCCTGTCTGGGAGACAAATACACAAGTAAATTACTGGAGTATGTGGTGGGCACTATAGTACAGGCTTTCTTAGGGTACTGGGGAGCCCCAGGGCATATGGGAGCTGAATTCTGTGGCAGAGAGTTCTGGAAACTGCTCAGCTCATCAGTGAGATAGTCACTGATCAAGATCTTCTAATGCCGCTGGTCAGATTCTCTTTCAGGTCTCCCAGACCCGCTGTTTGTTTCCCCAGAATGGCTTCGTCTGTGGTGGGTGCTTGGATTTCTGCTTTAGCAGGTGTAAACCCACTGTGGTCATTTCTGTTTAGGATTTGCCTGTTCTTTTCCAGCGGATCGTTTCTGTACTGTGTTCTTACTTGATTTGCCTTTCTAGAGTCCTAAGAACGCTCTGTCTTTTTCTTTAAAGGTGACAGTGTTCTTACACTTCCTGTGGGCAGGGCCACTGCAGGCGATCGCAGTGACTGCCCTACTCTGGATGGAGATAGGAATATCGTGCCTTGCTGGGATGGCAGTTCTAATTATTCTCCTGCCCTTCCAAAGCTGTTTCGGGAAGTTGTTCTCATCACTGAGGTAAGAGAAATACCGGTGTGAAAAATGTCATATCTATTTGGTAACATCCACAGTCTTCCCAATGCTTTTGTTCAGAAACAAACTAAATGCCTTTTATTATCTCTTCTTTGCATATGTTGCAGCTCTTCAGGCTTAGCCAAAGGGGGCCTCCATCCTTATGCTGAAGGCGAATCTTCAAGGGAGAAAGGTGAAGGCATTCACCGACTCCTCCCAGCCAGCTATTCAGGCGCTGTGGCCGCAATAAGTAGAATGTCCTTAAGCAGAAATCACATATGTAGAAGTTAGTGAAACATATAGTGAATAACGATAGATTGAAATATTTCATAGGCTCCATTCTAGCTGCATACATCTTTACTGTGCTTGTGTGAGAGTTATTTTCACATGTGTATACAAGTGTGTTATTTTTACTTCAGTATTTCCATTAAATTGTAAGCTCCCCGAAGGCAGGGTGAATTTTAATGATGTATTTATAAAATCACACAGTCCTAGTAGTGTACGTGTTAGAAATATGGTTGTCGGCTGGTCGTGGCAGCTGACACCTTTGGGAGGCTGAGGCAGGTGGATCACGTGAGGCCAGGAGTTGGAGACCTGCCTGGCCAACATGACAAAACCCCGTCTCTACTAAATTTAAAAAATTAGCTGGGTGTTTTGGTACACACCTGTAATCCCAGCTACTTGGGAGACTCAGGCACAAGAACCACTTGAATCCAGGAGGCAGAAGTTGCAGTGAGCCAGGATTATGCCAGTGCACTCCAGCCTGGGTGACAGAGTGAGACTCTGTCCCCCCCCAAAAAAAAGAAAAAAAAAATACAGCTTTTGGTCAAGAGGTTAATGATGATAAATAAATTAGACTTGAAGCAGGTCCCAGTGAATTGGAAATGAGTCATTGTCAAGGTTGTCAGCTGGATCAAGAGGAGCCACTGTTGCAAGTGCATTGAGTTCTTTGTTTTATGCTTTTGCTTATGGTGTATTTTCTACTTGGACCTTCCCCTCTTTGCCATCTGGAGAAACAGTCCTTGTCCTTTGAGGCCCCGTTCAAATGCTCCCGGTCCTCTGAAGCTTTTTTTTGCTCTCCTCTTTCCCAGTGGAGTTAACAAACAGCCCTTTCTTTTCTGCTCCCCAGCACTTCATTCTCATTTTAGTACACTCCACCCACTGTGTTACTGTCAGGCGCGGGTGCCTTTCTGCCTTCCCTGCCCACCTGTGAGCTCCTCCAGGGGACAGATTACATCTGACTCATTTTCATGTCTTCCTCAGCAGATATTACAAATTCTCCAAAATACTTATTGAGTTGGGATAGATTGTTGACTTCCTAATCGAAGTCTTTTTCTATTTGTATTTTGAGTAGGACCTGTCTGTGTTGACGGAAGCAAAAGCGCTCTAGGGAACCATGTGATGCGGGTCCCTGCCTGTGCCTGCCGCTGATAAGGGCAGGCTGTGATCGCTCAGGCTCATCTCCCGTGTCTGGTCCCCCTTAGGAGTAAAACTGCAACTTTCACGGATGCCAGGATCAGGACCATGAATGAAGTTATAACTGGCATAAGGATAATAAAAATGTACGCCTGGGAAAAGTCATTTTCAGATCTTGTTACCAATTTGAGAAAGTAAGTTTTTGTATACATTGTACCGTATTTTCATACTTTTCTATTTGCTATTCTTGTTGAATGGTTTTAGAAGTTTTACTATGTGTTCACATTATGGGAGGTTCAGTACAATCCATCCCACTCCCCACCTGTGGCAGTTGGGTTAAGTAGAATGGTGGAGAATGTTATTTTCACTTGGTCTTCCATTTACCATGTTCTTAAACAGAAAACATGTATGCTTCTTACTAATACAGAAGTGAAATTCCAAATGTTTCTGAATATCCCAAATCCCAACAACGATTCTAAGATGTTAGTATTTGAGAATAATGGTGTTTAAAATAAAACTATGATTTATATTAATGTAGCCAAATGGACAGGTTATAGAGACTGGGCATATCTATATTGGACCAAACTCTATCAATCAGTGTTTTTCATTCCAAACAGGCATGGAAATACTGTTAGTTGTTCTTTGTGTTATTAGAATTTTTGGGGGGCGACTGGGCATGGTGGCTCATGCCTGTAATCCAAGAACCTTGGGAGGCTGAGGCAAGTGGATCACCTGAGGTCAGGAGTTCGAGACCAGCCTGGCCAACGTGGTGAAACCCTGTCTCTAGTAAAAATACAAAAAATTTGCTAGGCGTGGTGGTGCTTGCCTGTAATCCCACTACTTGGGAGGCTGAGGCAGGAGAATCACTTGAACCAGGAGGAGGAGGTTGCAGTGAGCTGAGATCGCACCATTGCCTGGGCAACAAGAGTGAAACTCCATCTCAAAAAAAAAAAAAAAAATGTTTTTCTGGCTTTGGATTAAATATTTGATTAGCTGTTGCATTCCAGCACATGGTACTTCTTATGATTTTCTGGGTAGTTCCTGGCCACCTCTCACCTTTGCACCTTTTTGTTGTTGTCATTGCCCAGGATGGTCTCAAACTCTTGGGTTCAAACAATTCATCCACCTCAGCTCCCCACGTGCTGGGATTGCAGGCGTGAGCCACTTTGTGTGGCTGACATCACTGCTTTTTAAAAAACCTGTACTCTCTTCCAGGAAGGAGATTTCCAAGATTCTGAGAAGTTCCTACCTCAGAGGGATGAATTTGGCCTCATTTTTCAGTGCAAGCAAAATCATCGTGTTTGTGACCTTCACCACCTATGTGCTCCTTGGCAACGTGATCACAGCCAGCCGCGTGTTCGTGGCCGTGACACTGTACGGGGCTGTGCGGCTGACGGTCACCCTCTTCTTCCCTGCAGCCATTGAGAAGGTGTCAGAGGCAATCATCAGCATCCGAAGAATCCAGGTTGGTGTCAGATGCCATTTTAAAGTTGTAGGTGCATTCGAGGTGAAATGATATCTCCTTTTATTTAGCATCACTATGTTCCAGTGTAATGACATTTAACTCTTTCATAACCAAAACGTGCTGCCATTCCACAATGTTGTGTGTACTTCCTTATCTTAGATAGGGCGCACTAAAGACAATGCAAGCATTGTGATCGTTTATTAGTAGCAACATAAACAGCAGTGGCACAGGGCTTTTGATGTGCAGGTGGTAACGGCAGGTGTGATTAAAATGTTTAAGCTGTCTAAAAGGAGGAAAAGCAAATAGATTTCATCTGTTACGTTAACACAAATGAGAAAGTAGCCAGTATAGGTTGAGTATGGTTCTTCTGTGGGCTGAAAGGAAAGAGCTTGCTGGAGGTCCCTGCTTCTTGGGCAGGAAGAATGGCCCCAACTTCACTTAGCTATCCCTGTTTGAAAATAAGTTCTTTCCTCTGTAGATGTTGTCCTTGTTAATTTTTGTGCATGCCTTTAGGATCTCTGCCGTTTCTTTCCTATCCTCTTTTCACTTTTTTCTTACTGTTGATGAACCTAACTCTACCAGACTTCTTTCTTTCCAATCGGTTGATTTCTACTTACTGCCTTGCTCCGTTTGTACTATTGTAACAAAATACCTGAGACTGGCTAATTTATACATGTTAGACATTTATTTCTCACAGTTCCGGAGGCTGGGAAGTCCAAGATTAAGGCTCTGGCATTGGTGTCTGGTCTGGTGAGGACCATTCTCTGCTTCCCAGATGGACCTCTGTGTCCTCACATTGTGGAAGAAACAGAAGGACAAACTGGTTTAGTTCCCTCCAGCCTTCTGTAAGGACACTAATCCCCATCAGGAGGGCTCTGCCGTGGCGACCTAATCACCTCTTAGAGGCCCCACCTCTTAACACTGACCCTGGGGTGAAGTTCCAGCCTATGAATTTAGAGTAGGCATGCCCATTCAAATCATAGCATCCACTTTACACACCATCACCTTTTCCTCAGTAGCTGTCACTAAATTGCCAGGGACAAATAATTTATATCACCAAGGTAAGGTCCTGGCATATAATGTATGCACAAGTATTTGTGTGTTTATGAATAAGTTGAAAATTAAAATAAATTGGCTTTGTGAGAGGGCTTGGCAAGACCTTGACTGTCTAAGCGTTTCAAAAATCTGCTTTGTTTTATTCCTGGTTCTTAATAGAAATGGATGCCCAGGGACAGACTCGAGTGAACTTAGCTGACACCGGCTGTGATTATTTTTTATTTTTATTTTTTTGGTTGGGGAGAGAGTGGGGTGGGTATTATCATAAAAGCTAAGATTCTTTTTTATGATGAAGTTTGTTTTTTAAAGACGAGATCTTGCTGTGTTACCCAGACTGGAGCATAGTGGCTATTCATAGGCAGACTCCCACTACTGATTAGCAAGTTTGTATTTCATAAAAAATATTACCTCTAAAACAGACCATACAAGGTCAATTCTTATCCTTATTCTTTCTGACAACAGCTTCAGGTAACACTGTGAAGGGATGGTCCATGCAGGTCAGTAACACTTTTTTCTTACAGCTTTTGCATCTTGAAAGAAATAACTTAGAAATATACTTTGACCAGAGTGTCTGTCTGAGCGTGCAGGACACCTTTTTCAGATGGAAGGGCCACATGTGTATTGTGCTGCTGTAATTCTCTGACTGCTGTTGCTGCCCCTCACTGTGATTGCAGGCGCTGGTGTGTGTACTGTGAACCAGGGCTCTTGGAAGCCTTTACATGTTATTTCATGTTATCCTCACAATTGAAGGAGATAAGCATTAGTGTCCCCACTTTACAGAGAATGAAACTGGCTCCTATAATAGGTTAAGGAGTTTGCCTGTCTTAGAGATGGGAATCTGTTCAGAACCATGATTTCTTAACCATTATTACGTTGCCTGTTGTATTAGTCTGTTTTTATATTGCTATAAAGAACTTCCTGAGACTGGGCAATTTGTAAAGGAAAGAGTTTTAATTGACTCACAGTTCAGCATAGGTGGTGAGACCTCAGGAAACTTGCAGTCATGGCGGAAGGGGAAGCAGGCACTTTCTTCACAAGGCGGCAGGAAGGAGAAGTGCAAGCAGGGGAAATGCTAGAGGCTTATAAAAGCATCAGATCTCATGAGAACTCACTGTCACTAGAACAGCATGGAGGAACCGCCCCCATGATCCAGTTACCTCCACCTGGTCCCACCCTTGACACGTGAGGATTATGGGGATTACAGTTCAAGCTGAGATTTGGGTGGGGACACAGAGCCAAACTGTATCACCTATGTTGCTGCCTTAGTATCCTCTGGTGTGGGATATTTCCTTCAGTGTTCTTTTACTCATCTAGTCTTACTCCAAAAACCTTGAAAGGTTCTCTGTTTCCTGTGGAGTCCAGTTTTGAACCCTAGGTGTAGAGCTTACCTGGCCACATTGTGTGTTTCCCAGCACATGACTCATGTCTGTTCCTGCTTTGGGGTCTTTGGCTCTTTGTGGCTTGAGTGTCCTCCCTTCTGTCCTTGATTTAAGCAAGTGCTACTAAGCCCTCCGGCCAGGTCTCAGGAGCCTGGTGGTACTTTTGTTCCTGCTGAGCAAGGCCAGTATGGTGCAGCTCAGAGATGATGAACACATAATGGGCACCAAATGCTGGATGGACAGAAGCAGCACCCATAGCAAAAGGCTGGGACCCAATACAGACCCAAGGTGATCCAGGCTGTACCATAAGCCAGAGGAAGGCCGAGTGAGGAAGCAGACTCGAGTTGAACATTCCCAGAACACCGGGCCCTGTTCAAGGGGGTTGTGAGGGTCCTCAGCTCTGGGGAGCTGGATCTTTTTCAGAGTGGACTGGATCGGAGTCTCTGCATTGTGATGCGTGTCCCTCTGTGCATCTCAAACCCCATTGGACTTGTCGACCTACTCTTGTAAGAGAGGGGCCATGTCTGACATTAAATGTAGACCCTCCTGGCCGGGTGGGGTGACTCACACCTATAATCACAGCACTTTGGGAGGCTGAGGCAGGTGGATCACTTGAGGTCAGGAGTTAGAGAACAGCCTGGCCAACATGGTGAAATCCCGTCTCTACTAAAAATACAAAAATTAGTCAGGCGTGGTGGTGCATGCCTGTAATCCCAGCTCCTCAGGAGGCTCAGGCTTGCTTGAACCCAAAACGTGGAGGTTGCAGTGAGCTGAGATTGCGTCACTGCACTGTAGTCTGGGTGACAGAGTGAGACTCTATCTCCAAAAAAAAAAAAAAAAAAAGAGCCTCCTGACTGGCTTCCAGGCGGTGAAACAAGTGGACTTTCCTTGGGCCACGTGGAGAAATAGAAACAGTCTTGCTTGGTTAATAAAATTACTCTGTCTTCCTGGTCATTATGAGATAAATGAAGATTAAGATTAAGACCATGGGGCTTTATATGAACAGGTAATAGCTGGTGAGTACTTACTAGGTAACAAGGAGGGGCCCAAGAGCCTTATGAATATTCACTCCTTTTACTAGTGTAACTCCCCTATCACTCCTACATGACAGATAAAGAAACCGAAGTCTGGGGAGGGTGAATAGCACCTCCATGTTTTAACAGTTAATAAAAGGCTGATCCAGGGCTTTAGCCCAGGCCGTCCATCTGTCTCGGAAGTGCGGCCATGGCTCACATCCCAGCAGTTTGGTAGGCCAAGGTGGGCGGATCACTTGAGGTCAGGAGTTCTCGACCAGCCTGGCCAGCATGGTGAAATCCTGCCTCTACTGAAAATACAACAACAACAAAAAAATTAGCTGGGCATGGTGGTGTACACCTGTAATCCCAGCTACTCTGGAGGCCAAGGCACGAGAATTGCTTGAACCCAGGAGGTGGAGGTTGCAGTGAGCCGATATCGCACCACTGCACTCCAGCTTGGGTGACAGAGCGAGACTCCATCTCAAAAAAAAAAAAAGTGTACAATCTTACCCCCACATGCACAGCATAACCTGAATGCAGATGTCACTTCTGTGCAGCAGCCATAGGAAATAATGGGGCAAAGAGCAGCCCTGACAGGTAGTATGGGGGGTTAGGACGCAGACCTTGGGTCCTCACCAATTCTCTGAGCCTCGGTTTTCTTGTCTCTAAATAAGGGGATTGGACTTAGTGTCTGGAGGTCATTTCCTGTTTTGTCTCACTATTTAGAAAACCATCTGTATTAGTCAGAGTTCTCCAGAGAAGCAGAACCGATAGGGCCCATGTGTATGTACATGCAGAGAGACATTAATAGATTGATTTATAAAATTTTCTCACGCAACTTGAAGGTGAGGTAAGTCCACAATCTGCAGGGCAGCTGGCAGGCCAGAGACCCTGGGAAGAGCTGATGATGCAGCTTGAGTCTGAGGAGGACAGTCTTGAGGCAGAATTCCCTTTTCTTTGTAGGTCTTTTTTCTCTTAAATGCCTTCAACTGATTGGGTGAGGCCCACTGACATTATGTAGGACTTCAAAGTCTACAGATTTAAATGCTAATCTCAATCGAAAAATACTTTCCCATTGATATCCAGACATGTTTGACCAAATATCTGGGGACTGTGGCCTAGCCAAGCTGACACATAAAATTAACCATCACATAGTCTTTTTTTTTCTTTTGAGATGAGTCTCGCTCTATCAGGCAGGCTGGAGTGCAGTGACACGATCTCAGCTCACTGCAAGCTCTACTTCCCGGGTTCGAGCAATTCTCCTGCCTCAGCCTCCTGAGTAGTTGGGGTTACAGGCGTGAGCCACCATGTCCAGCTAATTTTTGTATTTTCAGTAGAGGCAAGGTTTCACCACGCTGGCCAGGCTGGTCTCAAATTCCTGACCTCAAGTGATCCACCCGCCTTGGCATCCCAAAGTGCTGGGGTTACAGGAATGAGCCGCCGCACCTGGCCCATCACACACTTTAATCCTCATCTCTTCTTTTGGGATCTCCACAGGTGACTTTGTCCTCATTTTCCCCTTATTATTGAAGCCATTTGTTTAAAGATT